GACTATAGAGATTTTTCTTTTACTTTCCTTTTGTATTTTTTTTTTTTGGTGGGGGGGCGCGGGGGAGTGGTGAGACGGTACAAAAGTGCACAGTCCAAGTACAGATATGAAAACCACCTCAGCAAAGTTCCAGAGAAGTAGGACCACAAGGTAAATTTAAGAAATTGTGTAATGCCATATAGTGCTTCACATGTATTCCCTCATCCTCCCATCAAGAGTTTTTGTTTCTTTTTCTGGCAGGGATTCGGGAATCATGTAAGATACCTAATATTTTTTCTTAGCCAGTAGGGGCTGCTGATTCAAGACTTGAGAGTTTCTTAAAAGGCAGAGACTTAAGGGCAATAATTCTAAGGGTCAACATTTCAACACATCGTGAAGCTGAAGTCATAATTTTATAATATTTACTTTAAGAGCCTTATCTCTCCCTGCCCAACCCCCTCTCTCCTCCTCTTATAGGATTAATTAGATATAACCTCTTACGGGATTATATAGTATTTCTCCACTCCCTCTTATAGGATTAATTAATGTTCTTCATAAACTGTCAGTTGTCCAGCAGAATTCAGCCATGTGAGTTGAGCTGGCACCATATTTTGTTTTAATTGAATCTGATATCTTTGGCTGGGGCTGCCTGTCCAATTCAACTGAAGTCTCACCACTCCTCTCCCTCTCCCTCACCTTCATCCTCTCTCTCTTGTCAAAACCTTTGCCTACAGTACAGCCCCAAATTTAGATATCCCAATTCATCATTGCTCACCAAAAAAGGTCCCTCCAGATATTCAATCCCATTCTTCTTAGAATAGGGTGGAAGGAGGGGAAAAGAGTTACATAAACTAAAAATACATATTTTGTTGCATTTGTATGTATGTACTGTATGCATATATAGCTCACACTACAATTTATGATTATTGGGAACACTATGCTGTGAATCCATAGGACCTAGAATAGTACCTGGAACTTGGAGACACTCAAATATCTAACAGATGAGTAGAAGTAAAGATTCATTCATTCAACAAACACTATTCTGGGAATTCCCTGGCGGTCCAGTGGTTAGGACTCTGCACTTTCACTGCCGAGGGCCCGGGTTCAATCCCTGGTCAGGGAACTAAGATCCTGCAAGCCTCCCAGCACAGCCAAAAATATATATATTATTCTGCTTTAATTATGTACCAGTAACTGAACTCGGTACTAGGTATACAATAGTGAAAAAATGGTCAATTCTTAATCCTCATCCTATTTTATCATTCAACAGTGGGTGGCCACTGTTTTCCTCACCAGCTGCTCCTTCCCAGAGTCCTTTGCTGGTCCTTGCTCTTGATGACCCCTAAATCTTGCAATGCCCTTGGGCTCAGACCCCAGCTCTCTTTACTTCTCTACATTTTATCTAGTCCCTTTCTTTTTTGCTTGTTTGTTTGTTTTTGTTTGTTTGATCTTGGCCACACCACGCAGCTTGCAGGATCTCAGTTCCCTGACCAAGGATTGAACCTGGGCCGTGGCAGTGAAAGCACCGAATCCTAACCACTATACCACCAGGGAACTACCATAGTCCCTTGTTTTTAAATATCAACTGTAAGCGGATAATTTCCAAATGTCTCTAGCCAGACCAGAGTGTGTATACACACTCACACACACACACATCTCCACCTGCCTACCCAACATCTCCACTCAGATGTACAATAAAAATAAACACCTCAAATTTAACATTCAAAGCAGAACTCTACTCCAACCATACACACACCCCTCCCTTCCCCTGTTAAAGGCACCACTATATACCCACTTCTGAAAGCCCAAAATCTAGGGGTCAACCTTGATTTGATTTTTTGCCTTTCCATTGCATTCCGGTATCCAATTCTTCAGCAAGTCTTTTTCATTCTACCTCCAAAATATACCTTGACAGGCCACTTCCCCCACTTCTGCTCCTACCAACCTAGTCCAAATGACAAGTATTCCTTACCTGGAATATGGCAATAGCCTCCTGACTCATCCCCCAAAGCCTGTCTTGGCGCTTGTTCTCCATGAAGCAACTAGAATTTTTTTAAGTAAATTCGATATTGCTTTCGCTCAAATCCCTTCACAGACTTCACATCACGTTAACAAAATCCTCCAACACCAGCTTAACCGCCCTGACCTTTCCAGCAGTATCAACCACCCTCTCCTATGTTCACTTGATGCCAGCCACACTTTTTGCAGTTTCTCAGGTAAGTCAAGTTCATTTCAATCTCAAAGTAGCTTCACTTCTTGTTCCCTCTCCCTGGAACCTCTTACCTTCTATTTCCCAAGACTCAGTCCTTTACATCATTTAGACTTTTGCTCACCACTTGTGATTTTCACTGACTGACCTACATAAATAGACCAAATAGCCTGTCTCCTTTGCCCTGTCACTACTTATCCTTTTACCCTAATTTGTTTTCCTTATAACACTTAATGTTTTCAAATTCTTTGATGAATTTTTGTTCATCTTCCCAATAGCATGTTAAGTTCATGAGGACGCTGATCTTTTCTTGTCCACCCCTGTTCTCTTCACCTCAGATGGGCACCTAAGAGTGCTTGACACTTAGTAGGTATTCAATAAATACCCACTGAATGGATGAATGATGAATGAAGGAGAACAGTTTAGCAGGAGAGACAGACATTAAGCAAATATCCAACTAATTATATGGTAAAAATTGTAATAAGTACAAAGAAGAAAAGAATAGGGCTTAAGGAAAGAGGATAGGTGGGGAGAGGCGACTGCCCTGAAAGGCCTTTCTAAGGAAGTAGCATTTAAACTGGATCTAAGGATAAGCAGAAACTAATTTGGCAAAGAGTGGAGTGGAGGCGACGAGAGGAAAGAGCAACAATACCTGTTAATGGTTTTGAAGAATACACATATGTGTCTCTAGCACCTACCATAGCATCTGACATAAAATTAAACAGGCATTAAAAAATAATTGTTGATTTTGGATTTTTCTTAATAAATAAAGACAGGTACCATAGAAATATACTTTCCATTTCTGTTAGAGTTCATATTAAGTATGTTATTTTAACTCAAGGAATATTGAAGATGGAAACCACCTCATTTTGATATCTGTTCTTTTTCTATAAAATCTGTGCACTACCCATGCAATTAACAGGACGATTTTTTTTAAAAATGTACACATTTATTCTGATCACCTCAACTTCCTTTTAGGAATATTAATTATTCTATTGATTAAAAGTAAAAAAAAAGAGGCTTCACAGAGTGAAGTGGTGCATGACAGAGTTAAGCCCTTTCTGGTTCAGACAATTACACACTTTTGGAAATGAACAACAATCCTTTGCCCCTGGATAAAATTTATGAACCACTAAAAACACTAATACATACAGGAACCTATGATGGTCTACTCCTATTCAGCAGTATTCTGTGCTAAAATGTAATATAGACCACGGTTCCCAGAGATTGGTAGAAACATATGAAACCATTAAAAACTCTCCGAAGAGGGAGCAAAACTATAAAACTTTGGGCTTGGTGTCAGGGAAATCTGGGACAAAATCCTACTTCTACCTCTTATTAGCTGTATGATCTTGGGTGGATTTAGCTACTAAGCATTCAAATTCTACATCTGTAAAATGCGGCAATACTACTTAAGCAGTGATTGGCACAGAGATATTGTGTTCAGAGAGGTTGGTACTACTTTTATCCCCATTTTACAGATGAGGAAAGTGAGGCTTAAAACATTTACATAATTTTCCTATAGACACAGAGAAACTAAGTAGTAGAATTGGGATCTCAATTTAAAAGCTGCGGTTGAGAAAACCATAATCTGAAAGGATATACGCACCCCAATGTTCATTGTAGCACTATTTACAATAGCAAAGACATGGAAGCAACCTAAATGTCCATCATCAGAGGAATGGGTAAAAAAGATGTGGTACATATATACAATGGAATACTACTCAGCCATAAAAAAGAATGAAATAATGTTATTTGCAGCAACATGGATGGACCTAGAGGTTATCATACTAAGTGAAGTAAGTCAGAGAAAGACAAATATATGATATCACTCATGTGTGGAATCTAATTTAAAAAATGAAGATACAAATGAACTTATTTACAGAACAGAAACAGACTTATAGATATCGAGAACAAACTTATGGTTACCAAAGGGGAAACATGGCGGGGGAATAAATCAGGGGCTTGGGTTGAACACACACACTACTATGTATAAGACCGATAACCAATAAGGACCTACTGTATAGCACTGGGAACTCTACTCAATATTCTGTGATAACCTATATGAGAAAAGAATCTATAAAAAGAATGAATATATGTATATATAACTGAATCACTTTGCTGTACACCTGAAACTAACACAACATTGTAAATCAACTATACTCCAATAAAATTAAAATAAAAAAAGAAATGCATGGAAAAAAACTGTGATTATTAAATAATTTCTCAATAACTAGATCAGAGAAGGCAACATTTTAAAAAATGCTTAAGGGAGAATAGAACAGTCTCTAGAAATATTTGGTTGTTACACAGATAACATACTCAGACGTAACCACATTGGGTTTCAGTCTCATTTATTTAAAAGATTTCGAGTTCAGAATAATCTTTAATATGGAAAAAAATGGGAATCAACCAAATTGTATCATATTAATATACCAACATTCCAATTTAATTGTAAATTCATTTGCAGTATTTCTGTAAATTGAGTTCCAGGTCAGATTTTCATGGTGAAATCAGGAGTAGTTCAATATAATGAAACAAAATTCCATAATTAGAGAATTACATAGAAGCTAGGAATTTTTAAGAATACATTACAACAGGGCTTCCCTGGTGGCGCAGTGGTTGAGAGTCCGCCTGCCGATGCAGGGGACACGGGTTCGTGCCCCGGTCCGGGAGGATCCCACATGCCGCGGAGCGGCTGGGCCCGTGAGCCATGGCCGCTGAGCCTGCGTGTCCGGAGCCTGTGCTCCGTAACGGGAGAGGCCATAACAGTGAGAGGCCCGCGTACCGAAAAAAAAAAAAAAAAAAAAGAATACAGTACAACAGAGCTGAATCCTTCGTTTGTCTGTATAATAAAACTTACATATTTATAACAGTTCTGTCTTCTATCTCATCTTCGTTTAAATGCTGTTCAAAATATTGCACTTAATTTCTCCTTTAAGTTCAGTTGAGGTGTTCAATTCTAGGTTAAAAAGAAATAGTGCCATGATAAACAAACCTTTGACATTAGAAATTGGGAGGTTTCCAAAAAGTAAAAATTTAATTTCTTTAACAAACAGTATTACCATGACATGAGCATTAATGTTTATATGCTTCAATATTGCATTAACGTTTTCAAAGTGACTTCACATACATTATCCATTCAAACATCATGTTAGCACTCTTATTTTTTCAACAAGGAAGCAAACTCTTTGAGATGAACTTCTTGCCTAAGAACCACTCTGGTGCAGTAGGCCTGTTTCTAGAACCAGGTTGTCTGCACTAAAAATCCAGTGCTCTTTTCTACTCTATCACCTACTTTATAAGAGAACTTAATGCTCACATTTCATGCAACCTTCTGTAAACATATAAAACTAAACCAATCATTTTGAAACAAATGATTGAAAAAATACAGTTTTAGTATTTTATTTTTTTAGCTTCAAAAGCTCACAGAAGTATATAAAAACCATCCCACCTCATTTCCTATTCCCACTAATGCAGCTGCAATTTGGAGTGCGTTCTTCCATTTCTTTTTCTGTGTAATAAAGCTGTATGATATATACAACACACATACTTTTTTTTTTAGTAAAAAAACTGTGAAGAGGTAGCCAAGATGGTGGCGTAGGAAGACCCTGTATGCACCTCTTAGCAAGGACACACCAAAATTACAACTACTTACAGAGCAACTATCTATTTGAATGGCCTGAATATTAGCAGAAAAGATTTTTCACAACTAAAGACATCAAGAAGGAACCGCAATGAGACAGGTAGGAAGAATGGAGATGCAGTATAGTCAGGACCCACACACCTGGGTGGGCAACCCACAAATGGGAAAAATATCACAATCATTGAGGTCCTCTCCGTGAAGCAGGGGGCCCAAGCACCACACTGGGCTCCCCAGCCCGAAGGTCGTGCACCTCCTGCACCAGGAAAATGAGCCTCCAGAACATCTGGCTTTGAAAACCAGCAGGGCTTATGTTTGGGAGAGCCAGGGAGCTGTAGGAAACACAGACTCTGCTCTTAAAGAGTGTGCACAAAATCTCACATGCCCCAAGTCCCAGCACAGAATCAGTAGTTTGAAAAGAGCCTGGGTTGGACCCACTGGCTCATCTTGGAGAGCCTCCGGGAGAGGAAAGAGGCAACTGGAACTCCCCGCTGGAAAAAGAGACATTGGTGGCAGCCATTTTGGGGAGTTCATTCTTCCCTAATAACACTGCTGCTGGCAAGTGTCCTTTTGTCACCCTCCATCTAGTCTGTTAGCACCAGGCACCTGCCCCAACACTTCAGCAGCAGAAGTGGCCCCAATAACCCCTGGACCATGCAGATAGCCTCAAGGGAAGACTACCCCATGCTCCAGCAAGCCCACAGCCACTGCTGGAGGCATTGCCTTGCAGTCAATCAGGATAGGGGCCAGCCTCACCTACCAAGAGCCCGCAGTAGTCAAGCCCACCACAACAGAAGGGTGTACACACAGGGGGCACCCCTAGAGCATATCGTTCTGATGACCAGAGAGGAGCACACTGCTGAGCCCCATAGAGCAATATGCAAAAGAATCAAACTGGACTACTTTCTCACACCATATAAACTCAAAGTGGATTAAAGACTTAAATGTTAAGTCCTAAAAGTGAGAAAGGAGGGAAGGGGGCAGAGTACAACCATTAGCTGTTGAGGATACAACAGAAACTGGTTAAAACCTATTAGGCCTAAGATGGCAGAAGATTCAACTTCCGGTAGACTTTGAGCCTCATTATACACTCACTGTAACACATGAGCATGTTAAATGACACACCCACAGGTGCCATGACTGTCTCGAGGTTGACCATAAAAGGCCAAAGAGTAGGCAATGTCCCAATTCCTGGAAATCCCCCCCTCCCCCAAAATAGTTGGAATAATCCTCCCACTTGTTAGTCTATGAAAGTACCCAGTCCATAAAAACTAACCATTCCATATTTCGGCGCCACTGTCACCTTCTGAGAAGGACCACATTCTGCCTATGGAATGTGTATCTCTCTAAATAAACTTGCTTTCACTTTACTATGGCCCACTCTTGAAATCTTTTCTGCGTGAAGCCAAGGACCCTCACTTGGTGGCCCATCCCAGGAACTCGCCCAAGACCCAGGACATGACCATCCTCTTGTGCCCCATTTTCTCGTAACAAAACCATAAAACTTCTAGAAGAAAATATAGGCAAGTATGGCCTTTCTCATTGGTCCTAGAAATTTTTTTTGTATATGTCACCTCAGGCAAGGGAAACCAAAGCAAAAATAAACAAATGGGACTACATCAAACTAAAATGCTTTCCCACAGCAAAGGAAATTATCAAAAACAAAAAGGCTGCCTAATGAATGGGAGAAGATATTTGCAAACAATATGTCCAATAAGGGGTTAATATCCAAAATATATAAAGAATTCATACAACTCAATATCAAAAAAACAAACAACCTGTTTAAAAAATGGGCAGAGGGCCTAACTAGACATTTTTCCAAAGTAGACATACAGATGGCCAACAGGCACATGGAAAGATGTTCAATATCACTTATCATCAGGGAAAGGAATGCAAATCAAAACCACAATGAGTTATCACCTCACACCTGTCAGAATGGCTATTGGCAAAAAGACAAGAAATAACAAGTGCTGGTGAGAATGGGGAAAAAAGGGAACCCTCATGCACCGTTGGTGAGATTATAAATTGGTGCAGCCAGTATGGGAAAGAGTATGGAGGTGCCCCCAAAAATTAAAAATATAATTACCAATTACCATATGATCCAGCAATTCCACTCCTGGGTATTTAGCTAAAGAAGATGGAAACATTAATTCAAAAAGATACATGCACACGAACATTCACTGCAGCATTATTTGCAATAGCCAAGATATGGAAGCTAAGTGTCCATCGATAGATGAGTAGATAAAAAGATGTGAGATATATATATCAATATAGATACATAGAGATATATGTGGAATATTACTGATCCATGAAAAAGAATGAAATCTTGCCATTTGCGACAACATGAGTGAATCTAGAGAGTATTATGCTAAGTGAAATAAGTCAGACAGAGAAAAACAAATATGTATGATATCACTTAACTGTGGAATGTAAGAAACAAAGCAAATAAAACAAAATGAAAACAAGACTCATAGATACAGAGAACAAATGGGTGTTTGCCAGAGGAGAGGGTGGTGGAGTGGGTGAAATAGGTGAAGTGGGTTAACAGGTACAAATCTCCAGTTATAAAATGAATAAGCCACAGGTATATAATACACAACATAAGGAATATGGCCAATAATATTGTAATAACTTTGTGTGGGGACAGATGGTTACTAGACTTATTGGGGTGATAATTTCATAATGTATGCAATTGGCAAATCACTATGCAGTACACCTAAAACTAGCATAATTTTGTATGTCAACAATAAATATTTTGTATATTTCAATAAAAAAAGAAGAAAAAAAGTACAAACTGTGATCATACAAACATAAGCCAAGCACTTTCTTTCTCTACTCAATATACCTTTAAAAAGACATAGTGAATTTCAGGTGAAGTTTTTCTTCACCTAAATGCTTCCTTTAGCAGTGGACTCAGGATTTGCTGTCTTTACTCATTTTTTTTTTCTAAAATTTCTGGCTACCTTAATTTCTATGACTTTCACCTGGTTCTTTTCTTTCTTCCCTTTATTATATTTGTAAATATATTTGATATATACAAAAGATTATCTGAAATACATGAGTTAGTTATAAATCAAAATATAATAATAAAAAAAAACCCTAAACTCACCATCCAATTCAAGAACCAAAGACTCAAGAAGCTACCCTATCCTACACTTCAGAGGTAAGCACATTCCTAAATGTTGTGTGTCATTCTGCTGTTTTTATATATAAATGTTTTAAAAATACATATAAATACTTTATCACAAATTTATATGAAATAATATATTGTTTAGTTTTGCTTATTTTTGAGATCTATTACAAACTATATTGTAGGGACTTCCCTGGTGGTCCAGTGGTTAATACTGCATGCTCCCAATGCAGGGGGCCAGGGTTTGGTCCCTGGTCAGGGAACTAGATCTCGCATGCCGCAACTAAAAAGATCCGGTGTGCTGCAACTAAGACCCAGGCAGCCAAATAAATAAATAAATAAATAAAACAAAACAAAAACCTTAGTATAAATGGATGCTGGGGGATGCAACCCAGACACCCACAGCAGGATCAAGACATCCATTTGAGGAGAGTGTTAATTGTTGAGGGCTCACAGCTGTGTCCCTCTATGGGCATTATCCTTGGCCAAAGGGAGCTGCTTTGTCCTTCCGGTGGACAGCCTGCTTCCAGTGCCTGGTTAATGCAGAAATACAAAAGCCTGGCCCACTTATCTCAATTACAGACATCTCTGAAGGGCCAACCTAGCTTCACCCCTAGCTCCCTGTGGAATTAGCTGAGGCCTCTATTACTGCTGCATCGAAGCTCAGCTTCTCCCTCAGCTTGATCCTGCTTCCCTCATTCTCTTACTGATGTTGTTCCCCAGAGTACTCCATAAATAAGTGCCCTGCAAGCAAATCTCAGTCTTAGAGTCTATTTCCTGGGAAACCTGACTGTTGTAGGTTGAACTATGTTCCCACAAAAGATATGTTGAAGTTCCTGGCATTCCATAAGTAATGGTCCCTATGGTCACCTATGAATGTGACCTTTGCAAGTAAGGTATTTACAGATGTAATCAAATTAAGATGAGGTCATACAGGATTAGAGTAGGCCTTACATCCAGTGACTGTCCTTACAAAGAGTAAGAGATTTGAAACACACAGAAAGACAGAAGAAAGAAGGCCACGTGAGGGAGAGAATATAGTAATGCAGCTGCAAGACAAAGAGTGCTAAGGATTGTCGACAACCCCCAAACGCTAGGAAGAAGGCTCTTCGCTAGAGCCTTCAGAGTGAGCATGGCCCTGCCAATACCTTGATTTAGGACTTTTAGCCTCCAGAACTGTGAAAGAACA